TAACAATTTAACTTTATAATATATAACAAGATTTTTTTATAAAAAAAACCAACTAAAATATTTTATTAATCAAATAAAACATCTTCAATAACGTCTAGTTATATGTATACAAGACAAATACATTCATGACTATCATAAGTAAAATATAACGGTAAGCGATCAATGATAGTTTGATGAGTAAGAACGTGAACATTTGTAGCAACAACATACATAGACGGATCATTTTGACATCTCAAAGCGCCAAACATAGAGGAGTAAAACCATGAGAATATCCAAAGCGAACGAATGAAAAATGAACTCTCCTTTAACCCCCGTCCTATCCAACACATATATTAAATTATGGTTTTCCTTGATATATTACACTCAAATAAAATAAAAAAGGTTCAAATATCAAATTGACCATTGTAATTTTGATGAATATTTAAAATATTTTCCTTGATTTATAGGCGAAAGATTTAATATAGAAATAAAATCATAATTTTACTTTTTTATTGTATATTACGTGTAACCCCTAGACCCGACCTGGACGTTATGCCCAAATCTAGGCGGTCACATATCGCATTCAGAAATTCTTTTCATATTTAAAACAACGTTAAAATCCATATAACAATATAATATGAAATTTATCCATAATAATGATTCATACGATAAACATATATGTGTGTGTGTGAAAACCGTATAAAACATTTACAAAACAAAAACAAATATATCAAGATGGTAGCAAAACACGTGTCACCAAAGTATAACAAAGGCATATAGAGATATACAATAGTACAAAAGTAGGAGCAGTCGATCCTCCTGATGCCAAGTCTGGTATTATCTGAAAATGTTAAAATTTCTGGGATGAGCTAAAAAACTCAGTGTGTTCCTTACGGTGTATAAAAATATACAAATAAAATATTTCAGTAAAATCAGTTTATCTAATATGTTTTAAAAACATGAACACTACCCCGTCCAATCACCAGAATGTGTAGGTTCTCTAGAACCATACACCTACCTGTACACCCAGTAAGGGCTTACCCTGTGCAGAAAGTAGAGGAGTCTGCGGCAAGGTCTTATTCTATGTACAAAATAGAGGAGCCTGCAGTAAGGTCTTATCCTGTGCACAAAGCAGAGGAGCATGCAGTAAAGATTTACCCTGAGCACATAAGCTGAGGAGCCTGCGGTAAGGACTTACCCTGAGCACAAAGCCGAGGAGCATGTGGAAAGAGGTAAACAGGGCCAGTTTTGGGCCTGTGTGGGCTGCCCAACCGCACATGGCCCAATTTTTGTAAGGGCCTCCAAATTGTTTTAAATCTTTTGTATATATATATATGTGTATTTAGGATGTTTGGCCCAAGGATTTTCAAGTCCAAGCCCTATTTTACTGTTATGTCACAGGGTCACCAAATTTTAAAATATTAGTGAACTTCTTTATATATCTAATATTTTAGTTTTAAAATGCCTATTTTACTGTTATGGCATAGGGCCACCAAAATTTACAAGACGGCCCTGGTGGTAAGGTCTTACAAGTCATAGACTATGCCTCAGATACTTCCTCTAATAAAACCCCCAATGACAGAAATAACATGTATGTAGTCGAATGAAAACGATAGTTTAATCCATTAAAACATAAAAATATTTCATTTTCAGAAATCATATACGAAAATACGGTAATCAAGAGATCTTATCAGAAATATATAGTAAATCATATATCAGATAAACCGCATTCAGAAAATCAAGTATTGTGTTTTAAAAATATTCGGTATTATCAGAAATCTCAAACAGTTCATACAAATAGTTGAAAACAGTAATGTAATACCAACATAAAACACACTTGTATCGTCTGAATAGTCTGATAGAAAAGCCTACTACTAAGTCTGTCGATCACGATCAGCGGTAGCGCTAGATCCTACGAATTGGAAAATTCATATCGGAATCCTAATATGAAAAATATTAACATTTATTTAAATAATTTACGGAAACCTACGCGTAACTCTCGTAGAACGCGGATCGAGCAGGTCTGAAGAACGGGAAACACCATATCTAATTAACACTCGGTCGGGTGAAACACGAGTATCTTCATAAAAATATATTCTCGAATCAATTCCATAATCAGATCCTAAAAAAATTAAACAAAAATGTTAAAAACACTAATCATTTTAGGATTTACGGTCTCAATTCGGGGATTTTGAGTCATAATTTGGCAAAACGAACTTCGGAATCGGACTCAGGACGTCGAAAAACATAAAATTTTGACTTTTTGGTCAAAGTCAACAATCAACGGTTCATGTTGGACCGGGTCGGGTCGAACACGGGTCGGGACAGATCGACCTATTTCTAAGCAGCCCACCAGACAGTGGACTTTCCCCACGCGCAGGGGCGGCGTATGTGGGGCTTTACAGGGTCGAAAAAATTCCTTAAAAAATTCTAATTGCTTTTCAAGGGGTTTTGAGATACTTATCAAGCTCAGTTCACAACGGTGAACGACAGAGAGCTTGATTTCAAAACGTTGGAAAATTTATCTTCCCCAACCCCTCACACGCCGACGACAATGGAGACAAGAAGGACACCGGTGGACTCGGGACGACGCAAGAAACACGGTGGTGTGGGAGGTGTCGAAAACGGTACAATGATCGAAGACGAAATGACGATCAAAGATTTCTTTCTAAAAGAGGAAAATTTTGGAGAGAGAGAAAAAATTTGAATTTTTATTCTAGGTTATATAAACCCTAAAAAAGAAAATGATAAAATCACACTATAGATCCTCCAACTTTTGATAATTTTTGAATTTGGATACAAATTTAATTAAAATTTCACTTTGGTCTCTAAATTAAATCAAAAATTCAATATAGTCCTCAAAAAATTTTTAAAAGAATTTTAGACTCTATTTTGGTTGTGGCATTACGAAGTTAAATTATTAAAATTGTACAATTTCACATAAACAAGTTTCAGTACGGCATCTTTTTATTGTTTTTAACTTATCATGATTTTTTAAATAAAAGATCAGTTAATTATAATTATAATTAAAAAATTGTTTTATTTTTTATCCAACAGGAGAAACCAATTGTTAATTTAAGATAGATAATAATAACAAGAATAATTGATTTGAACTGTAGTGTCGCATTTATTTTCTTATCATTAAGACAAAAATAAAATATTAGGATTTGAATTATAACTATATTAATTTTATAAAAAGTATTTTATTCATTGACAATCAATGCTTAGAAGCTCTACAAATAGGATTGAGGGGTTATACATGGAAGGTAGTGGTAGGGTGTAGATAAAAAAATTGAAACTGTATATAAATACTTTTAGAATTAAAATATGACAAAATTTATGATACTTAAATAGTGAAAATTTTATTTTTATTTAAAGTTTTAGATTTTAGAATTTAAATTAAACATTCGTTGATTCGTTTAAGTGGTTAAAGAAAGTATTGTTTTTCTTTGAGGTCCTAGATTCGAGCAACTGCATCTCTAGAGTGTGTACGTTGTCAAAAATTAAGAAATATTATGAACATAAATTACCTTGTAACCATCTAAACTATTAAAAAATTAAAATTTAGATGTGGAATTTTAGAATTTAATATGTAAGATATAAGGTTTTAGATTTTAAGATTTGAGATTAAATAAAGATGAACAATTTATTTTATTGTAAGATATTCTATTTAAATCATTAATATTTTATTTAGGGTTTTTTTTAGTTTTTTCCCCCTTTTTTTAATCGTCGTTAATTTTTTTCTTCATCTTTGTGATCGACGATAATACTAGTTTTGATGTTGGTCGTCGACTGTTGATATTCATTATTTTCCTTTATTTTATTATAACATATCTTTGCTTTTTTCTTGTTTTTATTTTTTAGTAACTCTACTTTTATAGCACATTTTTTTGTCGTTTTACCTTTTGTTTTCATTTATAATTTTTCTCATGCAAGGATGGAGCAAGGGGGCAGTTAGATACGTAATTTGTGTTCGTAAATAATTTTTCACGTCAAACGCTCTGATTTACGGTTTGTCGGTTGCCTTTCGATAACTTAATCCCTTTTGTTGTTCATTTGTTGATACAGTCAGGTTCATGTCTACTCTTTGTTCAAATTTATTTGATTAGATTTTGTAACATTTTTCTTATATGATCATTGTGTGATCTTAAAGGGCTAATTTTTTTATTAATAATTATAGAAAAATGTCATTATTATAAAAAAACTGATTTCTTTTATATAAAAAAATTCTATTGATAATCTAACAACTACATTTTCTATAAATAATGTTTATGGGTAATTATTCTATATATTTTCCGTTAAATAAAAAATTACACAAGTGGATTTCATATACTACAATACTTCTTATAAAAATGATAATAAAAATATGTGACAACATCCAAAATTTATTTGTGGATTTTTATTTCATTGGACCTTTGTAGAATAATAAACTAATATTTTAAAAATATTGTACCTAAATTTATAATTTTAGTAATATTCATATTATTCACGACACTGAGCATCTAAAATAGGAGAAAACTAATGGTAGATTTTAAAATCCGATTACGAAAGGAATGGACCCATTATCTAGCTAATTTCGATAATTACAATTTAGTAGTTTAAATATTCAAATTTTATAATTCAGTATTTGATTTAAGGATTGAGTTTATATATCTTTTTCAATGAAGATTTGAATCTTCCATTTAACCAATAAAAAACCCTCAAATATTCAATAAAAATTATAATATTGTTAGAAGAGACAAATTGACGAGATTTGGCGATCTATGTTTCCCATATTTAGTAAATATATTGGTTTTCAAAAAAGCACATATAATTGTGGATATTTTATTTAATTTTACTAGGCCTTGAGACTATATTTGTTTACATATAATCTCATACTTATGTGTCTTATCAAACGTGTCCACGTTCTATGAAATATTTTTTAATAGTATATAATGATTATAATGTAGTATTTATCCAAAATTCTTGTAATCATTTGATAACGCACACACACCCTGCATACACAATTTAGGTTATGAAAGCATTATTTGTGTAAAGTGGAAGGATTTACATAACCGAGACAGAACCAAAGAAGAGAAATAAACACACTTGCACAAGAAAGCTATACATGAAAAAAGAAGTGATATATATTTTCCTTTTATTAGATTAGGTGAATATAAAATGGCATCTATTATAAATATTTTCAATCATTTAATAATAGAAACACATTTATCTACTATAGACGTCGTGTTCAAACTTAAAATTTTAGAAGATAACAATAACCCTTTAATTACGGAACCCATATAGTTCGTGTAGAAAGTGATATATTTAAACAACTTAATCATACCGAAAAGACAAGCACATGCTAATATACTGCTTGCTAATTTCGCATTGTCGTTGAAGACTCAAATTCTGAAGCGGGTTCATCGTCTGCATCGAAAGAAGCGATGCAAACGGCACCGTGACCAGGGCCAAAAGCCTTGATATGATCTTTCAAAGACCTTTTGTGCTTGAAGTCCGACCCACAAATGCAATACCAAATCTTACCGCAGTTCTTCTCATGGGTTCTCCAGTCTCCTTTCAGAGCAAAAGCCTTATCGCACTTCATGCACATGAAGGGCTTGATTCCATGTTTCCTTTTGTAGTGAGTTTGGAGAGTTCTGAAATCTTTGAGGGCTCTGGCTCTTGGCCGGTGATCGATGTTGTGCTTACAGCCCGGTGCACAGAGTTCAACTTATCACTAAAGAAAACAACATTCTCTTTTACTACTTGATCGATTCAATTTGACAAATTGTTATGCATAACTAATTAAATTATTTTTATTACTTATAAACGTGTCCTATCATAATCAATATCATCACACAATATCTATATACGATGATACTCTAACCTGGACAATAGACGTATCATATTAAGTATAAAAATAATTATTTGTATAACATAGCATATTAAGTATCTGTATAGACATATGAAAGCATAGTATTGTAAGCATCATTTTACACAATCAGGTATATATTCATTGGACATTTTAGAGTAATTCAGATTAGTTTATCTCAATTTAGAACATTTTGGAGTAATTTAGCCCAATAGTTACCTAATATCTAAACAGATATATTTTTGACTAAATTTAAAATATATGTTCAGTGATCACTGTAGAATATTTTTGTAACTCCAAAATATTTTTAAAAAAATGGATTTCATATTTTTTTTTTCTAATTTAAGCCTTCAACTTTTTATTTTATTTAATTTGATATTCTATTTAGAACTTTTTTTTTGTAAATTTCCTTTTCCTATGAATTCATTGACTCTCTTATAATCCATCAATATTTTCCCTCAATCCTCTATTTAAAAAATAATAGCATAAATATAATATATAAGTTTAGATGTTATTTGATTTATTAAATAATTTAACAAATATTGCTTATCGATGTGAAAAAGAGTATGGAATATTATTTTTATATATCACATATGGTTAGAGAGAGTCGTTTAAATTAGAATCAATCAGCATCATAATGTTATAAATAACTAAATTTAAATTTAAACAAAATCTTGCATAAATATATATTTTTTTCGATTCGATTCAGCTTGAAATTATTTTTCCCGAGGCCAATTTATATTTAGAAAGTCGATGGTTCCACCTGCAAATATTAGGTTAAGTAACTGTTGGTCCCTCCGATGAGAAAAACGATATATATGTTATAGCGAATGTTTTACAAGTTTCTCAAAATATGGATATGTAGTGATTTCTAAAAGATAAAGTATTAGAATGATCCATTTTCGGTTTAATCTTAATTATGTTAATCATCGATTCTGAAAAAGTTATATTTTGATACATTATTGTTTTATTATATTTTAATTATTTACGTTATTGTTGATTACATTTTAGTTGTTAAGTCATTAACTCGGGTTAGTTTGATGATGTAGTATGTTAATGAAAGAGATAACTTTTTAATTTGACCCTAAACTTTAAATAAAATGTTAATTTTACGCATAAATTTGATCAAAGCCTCCTAATGTTGTCTTCTACTCACCACTGTCACCACCAGCTATCGTCGGCTGTCGTTAATGATGACCTTTGCACCCTCAAATTTTTAGTTCATTCCATTTTTATCTCCTGAATGTGAATCTAGTGTATATTTTACTGAAAAATGCTATGAACACAATAAACTTAGCTTAGAACCATTTGACTTCTTTTAAAATTAAATCATAATAATAAAATTATTAGTAGTAGTCCTTAAAAAATAAAGACACCAAAAATTTAAATCTATATCATAATCAATCAAATTCATATATATATATATATATATATATATATATTTTGGTTTATAATATTGTCATGTTATATTTTTTTTTGTTATACTTATAATATTAATAATAAATTTTAAAAATCAAATGATCAAAAGTAAACAAAACTTAAACATATCTAAATAATAATTCAATCCACAATTTTGTACTTGTGTATTCGAGAATCTAACAGTAGGAACTAGGGCTGTAAATGAGACGAGACAGATCGCGAGCTACTCGAGATTGACTCGATCAAAGCTCGATAAATACTCGGATCGATTGGACTCGACTCGAGCTCGAGCTCGACTCGAGTTCTTAACGAGCAAAAAAACGAGCTACTCGATATTCGACTCGAAAAGTTCGTGAGCAGCTCGAAAATATAATATATTAAGATTTTATTTTTTTAGAAATAAATTATTAATAATATTAATATTTATGTATTGATTTTTTTATTAAAAAAAAATATAGTAAGATTTCTTGTATTTAAGGTTCATGTTCGAGTTTGAGTTTAAGGCTTCAATCGAGTTAAGTTTAATAAATTTTTTTTTCATTTCGAGCCTTTTTGAGATGCTCACGAGCTTCAGTTTAGGATTTCGAGTTCAAGTCGAGCTTGAAAATTTTAAGCTCGCGAGTTTTCGAGTCGAGTCGAGCTTAGCAATACTCGAGCTCGACTCGACTTGTTTACACCCCTAGTAGGAACACTAATGTTGCCGTAAACCTGCTCTTAAGCAGTATTTTGAATGCGACTCCAACCTTATGATTGTTCTTTGTTTTTCTCATTCTCACAATATTTTAGAGTTTAGGGTTTAGGGTTTATACAAGATATTAAGTATGTGGCTTGTAATATATGTACCCGGTCACAGTTGAAATATAGCCTGAATTTAAAGTTTGTATTGTAGTTCTCGTAGACCCATAAATATCCAATCAATTTCCATCCAACTTCAGAACAAAAATTTCCTTCAAAAGAAGAAGAAGAAGAAGAAAAGTTCAAGATCATTCCATTATCATTACTATGAGTCTATGGCCATTTATTCACTCAAATGGGTCAACAAATAAAAATAATAAAAAAATCCTTCGTCCGATGACAAATATGTTAAAACATATAAAATAAGACAGAAATATAATAACGAATAAGAGCCTTGGTTTTAGAAAAACTAGGGTTCCAAAAACAATGGGCAAAAGAAAATTAAGAGAAGCTCCAAACCCGTGGGCTATAGCATCCACATGCATGTACTGCATATGCAATCCTTTTGGCATGGACCCAAAGTATGGGTTTTAGGAAGATTGCATAAATTTCTTTTTATCCATTCTGGAACATGGACAACTTATCTGCTTTCACTAACAAAACCTTACCTTGTTTTGTCTCTCTTTTCTTCAATCATTTCCATTATATATATATATATATATCAGTTTCAATCTCATCATTTCATCCCCATGGGGAGATAGCAGTGCCTATCTAATGACAGACAAATATGCAAAAACACTGCTTCGAAATTCAAACTTTTGTGTGCCCTTCATTTCAAATAAGACTGCTATGGTTTTAAATAATTTTTAAATTTTTAAAGTGATATTATAAATTAGGTTAGAATTCACTTACACAATGTAAAAGTTTTACATAGATTTAAGACCGTTGGACGAGTGAAAATAGAAGGCTGATATTGACTCGTTTTTTGCTTTTAGTGAATATATTCTCTTTTCCAAAAGTTAATCTGAGAAATCTATTTTCACTCATCCAATGATCCTAAATCCGTGTAAAACTAAAAGAATTTTACATAAGTGGATCATTTCCTTTATAAATTTGTAATGTGTTTTATATGTAATAATATTATAGTTTTAATTAAGTTGATGTCATGAATTAAGAGAATATAACTCATTTAAGAAAAAAACCTAAAAACCTCGTTTATTTGTTTTTGAAATTTTAAATTCCTCTCGAGTACAATTATTATAATCTCATCTTGCTGGAGAATATTTTGTTTTTATTTACCGTGCGTCAAACGGTTATATTTTTTATTAAAAAAATTATATGTGTGTCAAATAATTTTTTTAAAAAAATTTGCTTCATTATGTGCATTAATGGATGGATAATTATGTCATAAGGTAATATTTTTTTCACACACGTTTTAATTTATTAATATATATAATGTATTTTCAATTTAAATTGACTTTTAATTACTAGTTTAATTGTAATATATTGTATTTTTTTTCAAACAACATATTTTTTTTATTGCAATCTAATTTTATTTCGATAAATCCAAGTCGTGAACAACTATGATATAAACAGTCAGACATATTATTATTATTATTATTATTATTATTATTATTATTATTTTGGATTCTATCCAATACAGAGTCGTGCATGTGCTTGGGGAGATGCTATGACTCGTTGAAGATTTTGTAGTCTACAAAGATCAGATAAAATAATTATAAAACTTATTAAAATATTAATAAACCTGACATTATCTTTGTGTTTGTCAAGAAACATCATTTTCCCCACAAAATGGATGCATAAACACTATACCGAATAATTTGGTCTCTGTCTCATTTAATTTGGTTAATTGAAACTTTGAGTTACCCACAAATTTATTATTTTCCCCCAAAATAAATAAAAAATATTTATTTTTCTTTTAGACTATTGAGAGGTCTATGCTGTTCAAATTAAATCGTGAGAAGATAAATAAAGTTAAAAACAGAGACGGAATCAAAATTAAATATTTACAGGGATCGAAATATTAGATTATTTAAGAAAAATATAAAGATTTATTAGGTATTTAAAAAAACATAAAGACTTATTAGGTATTTAACAAGCGACCTTAGTTATTTAGGGGATTGTTGTTATCTTTGAGGTCACGAGTTCAAGCACTGCATATGTAAGGGTATAAGCTTTAATTGTCGAATAATTGAAAGTCATTGTATATATATTACCTTGTATTCACGTTAAATTTATAATAAATAACTCAAAATGCACATTGTGTTCAGTCTCGAAGTTTGAATTATCAAAAATATTATTTGGAAGCACCACTTGCAATCTTTTTGTTTTTTTAATTATTTTTTCCATAGTTAACGTAAAATATATTTACTAATTGCAAGCACTAAATCGTTCTCAACCAGAGGAGGAAAGAATCCCTAAAATATTTCAATTTTTTTTTAAAAAATAGAAAGTAAAAATTAGACACTATCAAATGAAGATGATATAATTAATTATATTTTAAGTGGATTATTAATCTCTAATAATATATCTGAAATATATTACTTAATCTTATAATTTCACTTACAATTATTTTCCTTAAAATTTATGGTATTATGTTAGGAAAAAAACCTACATTATTCGCTTGGTAATAGTGTAGTATTGTCACTTGTAATACACAATTAATTTGGTTTGTTTACTTTAATTTATCATCTATATTATATTAGAAATACACGTAATACGTATAAAAATATTATCACAAACCGATAAAGAGACTTTAGTGGTTAAAGAAAAATGTTGTTCTTTATATTAAATTCGAACAACCACATATGCATGGTATGTATATATTATCAATAATTAAGAAGAATTCTGAATAAATATTAACTTATAATCATCTTAAATTATTCAAAAGAAATATTATCACACAGTTAATTGTTATAGATTTTTATCAGATTTAATATAATTTATTTTCTAAATAGTTTTAATTAAAGACCCAAAAAATTAAAGCTTGCCTATTTTTTATTATAATTTTTTCAAGAGACTTTTTTTTCTTGAATATTTGAAGGACCTTATCCAAAATTTGAACTGTATTATTGGAAATAAAACATCTCCATTTAATTTCTCTTAAGAGAACAATTTCATTATCCTCAAATTTTCAAAATTAATTGATAATCAGACAATAATGAAAGTTGGTGGCAGCTCTCCAAAATGTTTTCTTTATATATTTTCTCAAACCAAAAGAACAGATTGGATAACCTTAAATCCAAATCATCTTGACCCCACATTGCTCTCTTTCATTATATAGTCCCAACTACAAGCCCTTCTTCTCGTCCTTTTTTAACTTTGAAGCTTTCTCTCTCTCTATTCAACCATCTATCTTTTCAGTAAAAAATAACACATTTTTTTTGTTCAAAATCTTCACTTTTGATTGATTTGAAAAACTGGGTAATGGCTTGTTCATTGAAGTGTGGTTCATATTTTTCTGGGTTCACAAGTTCCAAGGCTTCAACATCAAAAAAGTTTCCTCCTTTAAGTTTTGATTTTTTGGGGAAACCACTAGCTGTCCCAGATCAGAAGATAGGCTCAAGAAACTGCAGCACCAAAAGGGAAAACAAATTCTCTGTTCAAGTATGTCAAAAATATTTCCTTTTTCATTTGGATTTCAAAGGGCTTTTTTTTTGTTTCATCATTGGAACTGATGTTTAAGAGCAATTGATTTTTCCAGGCTGAAACAGCATGTGTGAGTCGAAGTATGAGATGGTGGGAAAAGAATCTTAAACCCAACATGGTGAAGATCCACTCTGCCGAAGAACTTGTTTGTTCTTTACAAAATGCTGGTGATCGATTGGTCATTATCGTCTTCTATTCACCCGGTTGTGGTGGCTGCAAAGCCCTCCATCCTAAGGTATATTTCGCCGCTACAGTATGTATGTATGTATGTATGATCCAAAAGTTACTTGTTTGTAAGATTTGTTGATGTGGGCTTATGTTGAAAGGTTATTAGTAGGACTAATTTGTTTTATAAATGTGAGCTTCAATGAAACTGTGAAGAACATGAAAATTTGTTTCAATTTCTTCAGTTTCAATCACTTTTGTTGATTGTTGGCTTATCTTGTAACAGATCTGTCAACTGGCCGAACAAAATCCGAACTCGATTTTCTTCGAAGTTAACTACGAGGAACTGAAGAACATGTGCCACTGTCTCAATATTCATGTCTTGCCGTTCTTTAGGTTCTATAGAGGTGCCGAAGGCCGACTATGCAGCTTCAGCTGCACTATTGCTACCGTAAGTTTTTGTCGATCAGGATAGTTAATTTCTTCGATAGTAATGTCGACATATAGATGATGTTCGATTCGGATTGTATTTGCAGATCAAAAAATTGAAAAATGCATTGGCAAAGCATGGATATAATCGATGCAGCCTCGGCCCTGCGAAAGGTTTGGATGAGTCTGAGCTAATGAAATTAGCCTCAGCCGGCGAATTATCACTAAGCAGTTTACAATTACCTTCCTTGAAGGAAGAAGCAATGCAGGATTTGGTGATGATGAGAAGCATGGAACTGTCTGGTTTGTTTGACAAAGCCGATAACAATCGGACAAAGGTCGAAAAAGAATGTGCTCTGCTATAGGTTTCGAGTTCGACACTTACACCCGAGTCCGAGTAATATTGTTATTGGAAGTGGATAGGGCCATTTTTTTATGTTGGAAGTTGTTTTTGTACATATTTGTCATTAGCTGGGTTTTCCATAAGCAGGCTCATGGTTTTTTGTTTCAGTTGAACTGCAAATGCTATTGATTTCTTGGAACGACAATGAATTATTATCAAGGAATTGCTATAACTTTATCTGCAATTTTGTTTACTGAAATTGTGATTCATCAATGACATGAAAAAGGAAAATGGGTTTGAAAATTTTCTATATGCTGGGGTGGTTGAGGCCAAGCTGGAGCATTATGTATTGTGCTGTTTCTTGAAGAAGAGAAACTAAACCAATTATTAGGGTTCTAATCATTGAGATGGCCAGCCCAGACAAATTGACTATTTTTGTTAGCTGTGGGGCAAATTTGGACGAGATTATTGCAAATTTTTAAATACATTTATCGATCCTTATGTAAAAGTTGGCTTCCTCGCCCATATAGAGGTGAGAAAAATTATTACTAGGGAATTTAAACGGATAGTCCCTTTTATTTAGGATCTGTTCGACAATATTCACTTCTAACACTCGAATAATAAAGATGTGTGGATGTAAAAGTGACTTTTGAAAGACTTGTTTTAGAGAAAACGTTTTTGAAAGTATCATACTCGTAATTGCGTGAATTTCATTTAAAGAAAATTTTGATTAGACTCGTGTTAGTATGACAATTAAAGACAATTGTTTCCTTATGAAATGCTTGGAGTCCCAATATCCAAAATTTTCTTTAACTATCGTATTGATACCGGTTCGATCAAATTTAAAAAATGTCTTTAACATGTCAAAATCAACAAGTTTTTGTCATAGATTCTCAAATCTCACGTTGCTTATATGTATTTTTTAAAAGTATTTAAATATAATCTTCTAAATATACGTTAAATGTAGTTCAATTCATGCTCATATAATTATATATCTTTGACACGCACCAACATATTATTTTTTTAAATAAAATTCGTAAGTTTTTGGTTTAATATTTTTATTTTTTTTTATTTTAATTCTGGATGACATCAGTATTAGAGAAATCGCCCAAATGACCTACCACATAAATAAAGACGCTCCCTCCAAAACTAGTCTTTCAGGAGTTTTCACAGAGGCATGTCTTTATTAAAAAGGGTTTCATTTAGTAAAAAAATTATTTGAGTGCTATTTTAATTAAAAATAAAAATAATAAATTAGTTTATTTATTTTTTTCATTTAAAAATTAATTAAAACAAAACAAATATATTTAATGCAATAATTAAAAACCTCGTCCAGATCTGTGACTTTATTAAAAGAGAAAAAAAAACATTTTGTATTTGTGTGGTTAGATAAGACATTGTCTTCTTTGGGAAAGCTAAAGAGGCAGATGCCGTGGCACTGACGAAGATCTACTCGGATCATACTCTTTGGTTGACCACACTTCATGTCATGTGGATGTGAATTGGGATATCATTTAATATATCACCTACAATTACATAAATATACAACACACTTATATGATTAGAATATTATATATTAATAATAATATGAGATTAAAGTGATGAAAGAAATCAAAGAATGAACTATAAAATTTAGTAGATACTAGAATAAATTATGCTAATAGTTTTGTATATTTTCGGTCTGATCGGTTTTGATCATCAGTTTAAAAATTAAGGTGAAATGGTCCATAAAATTATAAATCTATTTGATATTATTCCCTTAGCCATTAACTTTCGTTCGATTTTAGTCTTTTATCCATGTTAGGGACTTAAACAAAAGGGATTAATGAAAATTATTAGTAGAGAGATTTAAATCGAATAGACCTATAATGTTAAAGGACCATATACTTTTAATTTTTAAATTGATGATCAAAGTCAGTCAGACCTTAAATAAAAGGGACTATCCGCATAGTTTATTCTAGATACTATTATTATTATACTCCAAAACTATAAGATCAATTTATAAGTAGTTGAAAGAAATAGCAAATAAAATTTAAAATTATGATTATTAAAAAGATTTTGAATAAATTGTTTTAAAATGGTAAAACTGATAAATAGCCTTATAATCGTAAAAAATAACAAAAAGTGTGGGATCCACAGCCACCAAGCAATCACTTTCCATGAGCAGCAAAGTACAGACATATAACCGTGGCACTGACGTGGATTACTTGATTTTCTATTCAAATTTCGACTCTACTTGCATTCATAATAATGTGCGATGAGAATCCGCAGCTTGACATTGCCCCAATCGTTTAAATAAAATTTAAAGATAATATTTCAAGTTTAGATTTTAGAAATTTTCATAATATTTTTAAATAATATGGAGTGTTTATAAAAGTGACAGATCTAAAAATAGATTTTAAAGTGAATATATAAAAGTGTACACAAATAAAATTAAAAAATCAATGATAAAATGAATAATTAATATAAAAAAATTAAATTATAAGATGAGCACGTGTCCATCCTAGACAAGTGTTGCATTTGCCATTGGCTTTTAATCTAGTATTTGTTTATAGGATGATGTTTCCATATTCGACGAGCATAGATGAACACCGTTAATGAGGAATATTATTAAATTAATTTATAAAACGTTAAATTATAAAGTACTAAACGTATAATTATAAATTAGTTAAAAATATAAATGTAAAATACAACATTTATAAAATATTAGTTTTAGGGTAAACTATATCATTGACATTCTAACTATTTACCTTTTTTACTTTAGCCACAGATTTTTTAATTTTGTCAATCGGGTCACTTAACTATTTAAATCTTATCAATCAAGTCACATGTCGTTAAATATTAACGGAGGAGATGATGTAGCAGTTAATAAAATTTGTATAAGTACATATTTGATCCTTGTTACTTACACATTCTATCAATATGGTCCTAACTTTTTATTTAATTCAATAAATTTAATCATCAATCCGATGATGACATGTATCACAGATTGGATTTTTTTAATATTCGTATAGTCGAATTTGTTTTATTTACTTTGATCTAGTTTAACGTCATTGATTTGGATCGTTGTTTATCGCAGCAAACAAAACCTACTTTCACGAATCAAACACCTCCATCTGGTCAATGTCATAATTTGTAGATGAAGTGACTCACAGATATGTATCCGAATTCAAACGTTTCCTGTTTATGACCTTTTCTTCTGATAGAACTCATCCAACAATAGAGGTTTTATGATGGAATCTGATACCTGGCCATTGTTTCCTGCGAACATGATTATTGGCACCTGTATATGAACTTCCTTTTCATTTCTTTGTTTTTTTTATTTGTTTAAGCACAGTTTTAATGGGGATGGGTTTGGAAAAATATTTCCCTAATCCCCCAAATTGTACACTAAAAATACTCTTTTGTAGAAAAGTTAAGATGAACCTTTTTTTTTTCATAAACAAAATATGAATAAGATTAGGTATGCAATATGAAATTTTGCTGTAAATTGAAGCATCTTTGTTTGCAATAGAATGCGCATGAACATCTCGACTCAAAAACAAAAGGAAACTAAAAACACAGCATTAGTAAGTTTGATGTATTAGTGTCGGGTACATAAACGTATCCGATGATCATCCAGGCATAGTGTGTCGGGTATATAAACGAATCCGACAAACATCCGAATCTGATTAACATAGTTTATATATGTATCAAACATACCATTGGCATGCTCCTCCTTGGCCTCAAGTGTAGGAGCAAAGTTGAGGGGGTTGAAACTGACACCAGGGCATCCACATTCATTTGTGGGCAAGCTGTATTGCTTGAAGATGAGGTCTTGGTTCACGCATCCCGGTTCTTGATGTCTTGCCACCGTCTCATCTCCACATGGTGGACCAAGATGAACTCGATCACGAAAAGAGTTGATGACGAAGCGAAGTATTCGGATTTCCCAGCATTGTACCATTAGTTTAAGATAAACTTGTCGGTTTAACTTGCTGGAATATCCGGTGAAAACCTAGTTTTTGATGCACAGGAAAGGAATACGGCGGCCGAGGCTTGTGTCAAGATGGCGGCCATAGTTTCCGGCAGAAAGAAAAAGCTGGGTTCAAGGCCAAGGGAAGGTAAAAATGTTTTGAGTACATGGGTTAATGCTCATATATGTACTTTGATTTTGCCATGCATGTGTGGTTGACATTAATGGAGGTGACTCTGCATCCTTCCTTTCCCTTGCTTGGATAGCCTTCCTAACTTATAGTGATATATGAATTTATCTTATTTCTTCGAGTAATAGTTTTCTTTTATACAATATCCAATCTATTTTTACCTGAAATTAAAAAATATTGAGTATTTAAATATATTTAATCTTATATCTTCGTGTACAATACGTTAATAATAATATCTGTTGGACTAAATTTAATCGATTCACATATAAATAATAATATTTGTCCATAATTTTTCTTAACATAAGACAACACACACTTTGTAGATTCAATTAATCAAACTCGAAAATTATATTAAAATATTCCTTAAATTGAAGTACATACACCAATGCATGAAAGAAAGAAAGAAAGAAAGAAAGAAAGAAAGCTTAGTTTGATGAGCAGAAGCTTCTCTCCAACACTTTAACAAATTCATTAAAATCAATTTGGCCATCGAAATTATCATCAAACCCTTTAATCATCCTTTCACAGTCATCTTCCGAAGCCTCCTTAATGAAACCTAACGAATACAACGCATTCCTCAACTCCTTTGCATCGATGAATCCATCCTTATTTTCATCGAACACATCGAAAGCTTCTTTCACTTCCATCAAACTCGGTTCTTCTTCCTCGAACAGCCAATCGATTTTACCCATCCCCTCGTTCTCGATCACCGTTTTCAATTCCGAAAACGACAGGTTTCGATGATGTTCGTCGGTTGCCGTCTGATCTTCAGCGGGTGCGTTACAAGTTCTGTCGCCGTTTCTGCAGATTCTCTTTGTTGTTGCAGAGGAAGAAACGCGGATACAAGAAATGATTCCCGGGAAAGATTTGAATATACAGATGATGAAACAGAAACTAAAATAGAAATCATGCAGTATGATTGCGAAGTTAAGAAAGACCAGAGACACCATGATTCCCCATAGCGGAATCATCTCGTTCGATGGTGATTTCTGCATTTTGTTTTATGAAGTTGAAGAAGAAGGTGGCGACTTGGATGATTGATCAAAGGGAATAAGCAACAAGAAATGGATGTATAATGTATTAAAAATTGCAGAGAAATGGATGGAGTTGGAGTGTGGATGCCACACTGCTATGACATATATATATATATTTGAAGAGCCGATGAGGAAATACCCAGGAAAAATAATGCATTCACATGCATTGACGTTGACTATTAGCTTGTATAAAGTTTGGTATAACTATTTTAAATAAAATTATGACACGACAGAACATAAAAATATGTTATGGAGACATAAATTATACTTCCCTTAAGGCCAAAGGGTGGAATTTTGCAACTTCTTAGCACTTTCTTGGTCTTTGAGAATAAATGTATAAGGAAAATGTAGTTGTTCTTATAGAATAAGTTCATGGAAATTTCTATGAAGAATCACTTCACTACTTTTCATCACCTTGCATAATGTTAGGGTTTTTCTTTTTGATTTAGCTACAGTTGTTCGACCTAATGATCATTTATTTCAGATCGAGTTTTGTAAAGACCCATTATGAGAGCGACTATTCCAATCCAGTTTGCTCCATTCGTAAACATTAAAATTTGAACTCATGTCCTTGTAGAATATTAGTGCTTTTCTGGTACTTTTTTTTTATAATTACATTGAGCTCTAATGTACACAATGGGTAGTTAAAGCTATGGAGAAACTTGAAATCAAAGGTTATTAGAAGAGAAAGAAGGCGAGAATGAGAAGAAAAAAATTTAAAGGTCAAATAATAGACGAATCGTTTTATTAAAGCGTCATGTTATTAATGTAATAAGAATTAACGATTTAATAATTAAATTGGAATAAATTAATAATACAAGTGATTGAAACATAAATTATTTTTAAAATTTTAATCAAAATAAAACAAAACTCAAATAAAAGTGACATCCCTCATAATTTACCATAATTTTGTATATCATGTGTCAATATTAGATTTGTCTAGACTGACCCAAACTCGAGGCTCAAATCGGCACATCCTAAAAACCCACCAAACCTAGAACCAAACCAAAATAGACTTCAAAGTTGAGGAATCATATTGAAAAGTTTTAACAGTTGAGATATAAAGTTAAAAACGACTTAAAGTTGAGTGATGAAATGCGTAATTTTCGCTTATCCGGATTGGAAGAAGTTAAATAAGGTTCCGTCCCAAATCGAAGCCATAACGCCAACCAAATCCACAGAGACAAAAAAAAAAATGATAATAGATGGCAAAGATTCCAAGACCAAGACACAATCAAAGTCCAGCCCATCTTACCCGCGTCGTTCGCGTTCATCAAAGGTTACGCCGCCGTCGGCCTCTTTGGTAGACGGTGAACTGGCGGTGACGGAGCGAGAAGGGAGCTCTGCAATCACCAGTCTCTTTGAAGATCTCCAAATTTCACAGGATTCAAGCCCTAATCCCCGGAGCTTTCCTTACAGCGTCAAACAACAATGCTGGGAAAAAGCCGAGAAGGTCAAGGGACGAGACCCAGCTCGCTGGCGGCGTGACGCTGTTGGTAACATTGTTTTCAGGAAGCTAGTTGGTTGTCCTGGTTGCTTGTGCCATGACTATGACCATATCATCCCTTACTCCAAGGTACGCTTTTGTTTTTGCCCATTGAATTGAAATATTCTGCTGTATTTATGAACATGAATTTGAAGATTTGGATTTAATTTGTGAATTGAAATGCATTAATTATGTATAAACAATTGAGATTCCATGTTATCATTTATTTATTTATCAAAAATATAAATTGTCAACTTCACAAGTATGTTTATGAATTCCACACTATTACTGAATAGGCACCCGATAAATCGATGAATATGAGAAACCGTCATTACATTTTTGTGTGATTCATCACAAAAGTCACTCTTCTTTTGAAACCCTAATCCATCTTTTGAAATCAAAGTTTCCAAAAGCTACCTTGAGTTTTTGTTTTAATCTGTTTATTGGAGCTGTTTTCTGAAGTGGGTTTGGGTGTTGTAGGTTTGTTCTGGCTCCATTTTGTACTTCCTGATTTTATATTTTGTGAGAATTTTTTTTATCACAATTCTCTACTTGTAATCATGGAGAAGTAGATTTGAATTATAGGTGGTCATGAGCTTGTATGATGCTATGTTTTTGTGTCTAAAACCAATGGTACTCGGACTTAGGTTGTGTCAGATATAGATATATATCTGAAATGGGCGTGTTCATTTATTTTGAAGTTTTTCCATGTATTAGAAGGTTCTTTGAGAGTAATATCTTCATACTCATATCCTGATAATATTCATAAGATGTGCTTTGGGTACTTCAGGAAAAATAATCTGAGCAACATTCTTTATGCACCTTAGAATTTATTCCAGAAAATAATGGTTCTTGCTCCTTTGTAGTTAAAACTTAAAAGCAAAAATTAGTAAAAAAGAGACAAAACAAGATTGAATGTTAAAGTTGATTATTTGCTCCATTTCTTGTCTGAAAATATACCTGTGCTATTTTGTTGTAAAAATTCAATGGCATTTGTGAATTTGATCACTAAGTTGCAAAGAATTCCATTGCTATATTCTGTAGTCTACAATGTTCAGACTTTGAATCTGCAAGATCAGATCCCTTAGTGAAGGATATAATTCTATTTCAGCACTGGTCATGACTTTTCCATTTCATAATGGAAATGTTTTGTATAACTATAGAGAAGTTCCGTTTTAGATGACTAATTTATTCTTAATTACTCTAAATAAAGAAAAGCTTGAAGTGCTAGCGCTACATTATGGGAGGCAAAGAAATTCAATCTCTGTTGAGCGAGAATCATTTGGTATAAAAATCTGGCTGTCATGATGTGTAGCAGTAGTCATAAAACTCTAAAAGTAAACAATAGGCGAAGATCAAAAGTTGGTCATAAGGTGGTAGAAGCCATAGTAGTTGATGGGTCTGGAGGCAGCATGTGAAAGGTTCCCTGTTAAGCTGGACTGGTTCATTTTGTTGGTGTTCACATTCTATATTTTAAGCATAAGTTGGTCATATAAGTTTCTAAGGAGGACCTTCTGAGCCCTGGGAACTTGAGGCTAATCTCACGCTGTAAGAACATATTCTCAAAAGGTTTAGTATTTGAAGAGCGTCAGTCAAAGCACCATGTATTCACAGGACTCCTTCTAGCTTACTATTGACAAAGTTGTGATTCTTGTTCTACTTTCTTGTTCCTTATATATAGCTTCCTTTTGTATCATGACATTCATTTATATTTCTTCAGATATCCAATCAATGTGTACTTAACAAAATTGTTTCTTTCTAACAATACTCTCTTTGTTATTCAAGCTCTCAAAGACCGTCCCTGAACTTTCCATCTCTTGAATTTATTGTGTAGTATTGTAATATGCATGAAAACATGTATTTTTGTTCTTGATCTATAGAGCCTGGCTTTTGATTAATATTCTTTTTATGAATTTCAGGGAGGAAAAAGCACGCTAGAAAACTGTCAGGTTTTACAGGTATGAAAATTTCCCTCTTATGGCATATTCAACTTTCATTTTTCTCTCTGTTTTTCTGAATTTCTTAATGTATTTTCAGGAAAGAAAAAAAAAACTAGTGTGCTTCTGTTTTTAATATCTTACGCATCCTACCAAAATAAAAAATATATATTTTTATTTTTGCAATGCAATAAATGTTAGGCCAAGACCCATAGTGATATCAGTCTACTAAAATTTGTTGATGTTTTCATGTATTTAGACTGCTTACAGGATTGGCAGCTACTTGCCTTGAGCTTTAATACACTTTTTGACATGAATCATAGTAATGTTGCAATTTGAGGCCGTGAATCATCTCTCTGTGCTAAGCATTTTCCTCTCATTAAACTGATTGCAAAGGTCTATTGAGTCACAACTAGTCCACCTTGATTTGCCTTACCATAGTGAAACCATTATAAATCCTCCATAAGAAAAAAGATATAAAATGAAAAGAACCAAGTATTAAGCATGATAATGGGACTTTTTAACTAAACATATTTAAGGATCCTAATCATTTTTACGTATTTTGAAATGAGTGTACATAATATGTTTTTGAATATAATATTTCCTTTAGATACTGCCTTAATTAAGTTTGCATCGTATGAGTAGCCATAGCACAGTTGAAATTGCCATTCTATGGCCCCAGTCAATGGTGAAACCAAAAGTTTAAGTTAGTGAGGGCAAAAGAATGTCAATTGGAATATTTTTAATAGTATTTGGTTAACTAAGAATTTTATTAAGGTCGCAATGGCCTTGATGAGTTTTTGGATAGTGAATAGGTTGGTCTTTTTTTCACTCCTAATTATGACACATGTCTTTCTTAACATACAATAGATCAAGCTGTCATTCATCCACCTCTCATTCAAAATGTATATATTTTCTCAACAATCTTCGTTGCTGAAAATCTCATAATTGTATACCATCTGGTAAAAGTGAGTTAAGTATCAGCTACATAAGATGATAAGTTGAGTCATTTGTTCTTTTCTAATAAAATTAAAAATAGCTTTCCTTGCATGGAAATTGCATCTTTTCTTTAGTTAGAAAGTGACTCCCGTCTTCAATGTGACATCAGTTCTCAATTTCCAATTTAGAGATCTCAGGTTCAAGCTCTGGGAATTGCATAATTTAGAGGATGACAGTTAAATCGATTTCCAATGTAGAGATCTTAGGTTCAACCCCTAGGAACTAGGAAGTAAGTACATGGATTAGGAGATGACAGAGTTAAATTGGTTTCCAGTGGATCTTAGGTTCAAACCTTGGGAAGTGGATCGATTAGAAATGAGAGTGAACCACCTCCCTATGTGTTGTCAAAGGCTTAGTATCACTCTTTTTTCCATCATAACATAACTAAGTTATCCAGTCTTCAGTGTGTCAATATTTCTGTATTTTTAAGTGATGACAAAATCTTTCTATTAATGCAATCGATCTTTAAATAGAAGAAAACTATATAGAAAGAAGGATACAGCTAAAAGTTAACCTATGCACAATGATATAGATAAAAGTTAACCCATACATTACTAAGGATATAGATAAAAGTTGGATTATACATTCTTGCATGTGGGTCTGCCTATGATGGAACTTCAAAGTGGGGAATATTTATTAGGGCTTCGACTAACCCTCCAAGTAGAGTTCAATGGGAGCCTTTTCCTTATTCAAACATGGTTTTTAGAAGATATTGGTGTATAATCAAAACATGCTGGTCCATATTTGAGTGCTTAATCTTTCACTATAAGTCTTCTTTGATTCCCATTTGTGAGGATCTAAGCTTCTCTTTTCCAGAATCAGCTGATGCAGAAAATGCTGATCAAAAGCTTTCTGTTTTAGTACCATTGAGTTCAATAATAATTTTGAATCTGATGTTTGGGATCTTGTTTTGTTAACTTTAGGCAACTGTTAATCGATCAAAGGGAAACCGAACTGAGTTGTCCAGAGCTGATCTCATTCAGAGAAGTTCTTATTGCCGGGTTTCAGGTAAATTTAATGTTGTACAATAGATATTTCCCCCCTTTTCCTGGTAAGATGACTGCCGGATTTTCTAATCTGAAGTTCGACTGTTTCATCGAACTTTTAGGTCGCGACATGGATTTGTTCGAACTATCAGCTTATGGCAATGTTCACCATGGGGAGGATTCCGGTGGGTGTAGAATTCAATGATATTAATATCTGCTGTAGGAACTTAATACTGATTCCAAGATATATTGTACTAATGAAATGATGATTGAGCTTAAAAGATATCATAGATAAACGCATGATTTTATGTATGATTTTATGTTAGAGAGTGAATTTCTAAAATTTTATAAGAAGGTGAAGTTATAAGATTTTAAAGAAATAAAAATAGATTATCAATAGAAAATAAAAAAATTAAAATATATGATAATGCAAATAGATAGGCTTGCGGAGTATTTTTTTTCCTACCAAATATCACAAAGTTATCTTTCCATCAAATGAGACGTGGTTCCAAAGCTGCTATGACAAAAATCCCACTTGAAAGACACCGAGAATTACGACAACCATTGCTCGATTCCTTCATGTGCTGCCCCCATGCAATCAATGGTGAAGACAAAGATTCCCTCTCAAATGCCAATGGTAGAAACGGTCCAAGGGGGAAAGCTGGCGGCAACCCGTTTGTTAAATCTGCACAGGCATCTCAAAGCATTCCTTTTCGAGCCCTTCGAAGGAATTGATCAGAACACCATCGAAAACGCTTGATGCTCTTGTTGTCTGAGAAATTCGTTGTGAGTAGTTGTTTGAGTCTAGAAGCAACGCAGGAAGCAATGCTAACAGAATCAATGAAGGGATAGAAGGAAAAACATTCGAGCCGACAAAATGGAGAGAATGTAGTTAGGTAGTTGGAGATTTTCGATCATTTCGATTATAGACGTCAGCAATGTCACATATATTTATAGTGAGAATTGAATCTTAAGCCTCAGGTGTTCTCAACAGCCTCAACCTTATCATTAAACTAAGATTTTGTGACCCTGAAGCATAAACTTTATATTAAGCCATTTCTAAAGGGGTAAATAACTAAACATTAAATTTACACATAAATTTAATATATAAGTGAGAAATTCAATACTTGGTACAATTACACATAAATTTTGATTGCGATAAATACAATCATGTGTATAACGAAAATGCAGATGTGAATTATTGTTGGGTTGATAAATACGAAATTTATACATAGTTTTGAGATTCATCTTTTCGTAAAATTATCTTAATTTTAACCAAGAATTTTATCTATTTCTCAAAACCCTACATTACTCTTGTTTACTCGTTTCAATTCCAAAAGTTATTTTATCTCAATTGTTAGAGATGAAAAACAAACTCTACACTTTGTTAATGGTGATGGTCGATGAACAAGAGTCCGACAAACCCCTGTGATAGCTAAATAAATCCAAATCACTCACTCGGCGACCACCTCCTCCGGCAGAACATTTCGACTGAGCAGTGGTCACAGCCACCGCCGATGACACCAGCCTTCTCTTCTTGTAATTAGCCTTGAAACAGGCTTGCCTTAGTCTCCTTGTATCGTATCCCATATTCATGTCCGGCATCTCTTCCAACATCTTCCTCTCCCTTTCCAATACCTCCACTGCTTCCTTCACTTTCCCTTCTCCTTTCTCCTCCTCGCACTCCTGCATTATCATTTCATATTTTCGGTCAAAGTAATTTAAAGGACGAAAATATGTCATCAATAGAAAATATCTAAATCATACAAGAATTTGAAATATTCAAAGAGATTCCAACAACCCCTCGGTTCATTCATATTTCCGGATAAAAACAATATGATGCGAGAATGAAATAGTACCTGAATGTTGTTGATAAGAGATCGGAGGCTCTTAAGTTTCCGGTGCGGCCACCTCCGGATTCCGAGCTCCCTGCACCTTTTCTTCAGCAAAGTTAACCCAACGTTAAGCTCTTTGGCTGCTTGAGTTATAGGCATATAGAAATACTGTGAGATTACTTTCCTAGAGAGTAACTTTGCCCTAGTTTTAGGTTGTTCTTCCTTGCAGTTTTTATCACCAGAAACACTCTCTTTCTTCATCATCTGTTCTTCACCATTGATATCATGAATCTCGGGCATTGTCTTGTCGCATTTTCGGGGCTCGAATAAGAAACCCAGTTCATCCCAGAATCCATTGCCATTTTCTGCAACAAAATATATATGAAGATTGATGATCGAATACGCTTAATGATTTGTATTTAAGAAAAAATATCGACCTTGAGATGCACTTGAACTTTGTTCAATGTTTAATGACGCATATAATGGATCCGTGTACAAAGTGTTAGTCATCAACAACGGAACTTCATCGTAAAGACTTTGTTGCATGCAAAACTCATGATACTGCAAATCCAACGTATCACAGTACACAGCACTTTCACTGCAAAATCATTTTAATCAGAAAACTCATGAGAAAACCAGAAGGAAAATAACAGAACTGATGTAATTCCACCTTGAATATTCCACAGGAAGTTGTGGTTGGAAGGGAGTTGAGTGTTCTTCTTCTTTGGTGATTAGTTCAGACCTCAGCCAGTGACTTCCCATTTCCTTTTTTCTCGAGATTGAGAAGAAGAAGAAGAAGATTGCAAATGGAGTTTAGGATTTTGGAAACATGAAGAGGCGTTAATGGTAGTATACATATATAGGGTGAAGAAGTGCATCATATAATTGCATTGGAAGATGGTGCGCCGTCAATGGATATATAACTCGACATGCACATGCATGAATCATGATGATGACCATGGCCTTGCTTATTTATTACTTGTGGGAAAGCTTCTGAGATTCACTAGGTTTTATCATTTCATGATAGCCTTCTCAAATATTTTTATTACTTATAAATTTAAATAACTTTTTATTGGATAAATATAAATTTGTTACGAGTTATAAATAGGTAAAGTTCCAATGTAACTCATATGAACATTAAAGGCCTAAAAAGTGGGAAATGGAGCACAAATATATCATCATTATTATTTATTAATTCGTAAATTTTGCAATTAATGGAATAATTTCTTTGAATCGTATGTATAAGTAGTTAATGGCATATTTAAGAGAAAAAAGTGTATATCTTCGGAACGTACGTAACTGCTAATTAAGAGCAAATTATTTGATCTCCATATCTATTAATTTTTCATATAAGGATGCATAATTAACTCAACTCATAATCTATTTTTTTATCGCTTATTATTGATACGTTAAATGCAGTCCCATAGGTATAATTCTAACCTACAGTTATAAAGCTCGAGTAAAAAATATATATAATATTATTATTTGATATAAAAAATGTGTAAAATTTATTTTATATCAATCTATTTTAATTCTATACTCTAAACCTTAAAATAAACAAATTTTATATAAATCAAAATTTACATAATATATATATCAAAATTTTTAATATATATTTATTATTAATTTTAGATTGTAAAAAATCTAAATATATATAAAAATGAGATTTGGAAGAGCAATGATGATTAGGGCTGAGCAACGAAATCGAGAAAACCGAAAAACCGATACGAACCGAGTAAAACGATTCGGTTCGGTTTGGCTTTAAACGGTTCGGTTTTCGGTTTGATTTAAAGGCTTCATTTTTTTGATTCGGTTCGGTTCGGGTTTTCCATATGGAACTCATTTGTTCCATATTGAACCGAATAGATAATTTTTGTAAAAAAAATTATAGTTTCAAGTGATTTTTTTTATTGAAAAACCGATAAACCGAACCGAACCGAATCGAAAAACTCGAACCGTTAAAAAAACCGAACCGAACCGAAAAAACCAGTTTCGGTTTTTTCGGTTTTTTAACTATTCGGTTTCGGTTTCAGTTTAAATATTGAAAACCCATTTATTTCGGTTCGATTCAATTTTTGGTAAAAAACCGAACCGAACCGAACCGAATACACCCCTAATGATGATGATTAAAGAGATTGGAGTTGAATCATTGAGAGGCAGTGTGTTTGTGGGGAATTGGATTTATCATAAATGAAGGAATTTGGCTTTACGAAATGCATTAGATAATAACCAATAACCAAATACCAATTGCAATTATGATCAAAGCAGAGTGGTTTTTGGGATTAGCAAGTTAACCACGCTTCCAATCTTCATCTTACCCATGCATGCACTCTTTTTGTCTCATCAATTTTAGTTAGGTGTTTTCATTGTTCAATTTTAACCGAATATTAATTTAGTTAAATATTAGACTGATTAGCTATTAATTTTTTTTAAAATTTAATTTGATTCAAAATTAATTAATTAACTTAAATATATATATATATTAAGCTCAAACCGTTAAGAATTAAGAGTCAACTATTTTTTACCCACATTAGATCCATAAAACTTTAAAACTCCCCAATCAATTTTTAACCCAAATGAAAAAAGAAAAACCCATATTAAACTTAAATTAATCTAACTAAAACTTTTTTCAAAAAATTCCATTAATCCGGTTTCTACTACTTAGGTTCAATCGATGACCAAATTAACCATTTGAGCACCCTTACTTTTGGCCTGGCCACGGGCCCTTTATATATTATAACTTGTTTGATAAAAAAAGATTATATACTCTTTTAACTAGGTTATTTCATGGATACAAAACCAACTCTCGAATTCAGAATGAATGTTTACGCGAACATAGTATTAAATTACAACCGTAATGTAATATACCAACTGCATCGTAAATTTTTTCAAAGTTACTGCGCCACTGTAAATTGCATCTACAACATATAAACGTATTTTTATAAAATAAATCACGTCATAACATCCATAACCGTGATCACAACTTAGTGCTACGACTAGGAACCATAAAAGGGAAGCACGATCTTAAGCTGAAACCAACTATATCTTAACCACCTCCCTGAATTTTTAGCAAAGAGGAACAAAAAACTAGAGCTCGATGCACAAACATAGCAAGAAAATGGCAATCTGCACACAGATTACATAGGCTCATGGGAAGGAATAACGGCTGTTGATGAACTCATCAAAGAGATTCCAAACAAGCTACCATGGATTTAGAGGAAATGGAACTCTTCCATCAGTGCACCATGAAGAACATGGGGTGTGCTTATATATTCAATTAATACGCAGTTCCCTTCTTGTGCCAAAAAAGAACTCGCAATGTTTGAAGTTTATATAACCATGTCCAATTAGCAACAAAGAAACCCAATCAAGTATCCATAAAGGGCACAAAGTACAAACGGCCAAGCGTCCTGCCACAAGGTTAACAGCATTAATACTGCACAAACCATTTACTTAAAAAATAAATAAATAAAAGAAGGCGGCCAACTAGCACGGAGCATAGCAACATGAAAGAAAAATTAATTCCTCCTTATAACCAACCAAAAGCCAATCCATCTTCCACATGCAGCATTAAAAAATTTCAATGAAAACTCGTACAGAAGCAATGAAAATTTATGCTGATAATGCATGAATCACAGAAATGTATGCTTTCAGAGACCAAGAGACCATATTTGAAAGAGTGTGTCAAGAAAGCAGGACTGCAGGAGTCTCCTTCGAATCAAATATCGAAAACAGCATTTTAGGAAAACAAAAATAGTTGTAGATTTGTTCCAAGTTTCACACTTCAAAGGTTAAAGGACTGAATGATAATATAGTTCCACCCTACAAAAGAACGAATAGAAAACATCCTGTAAACAAGAAAAAAGATGAAGAAGACTTCAAGCTTCACCATAAAAGCAGCAACCCTTGTTCATCAGCTGCAATCAAAGTATGATTCCATTAGCAAAGTGATAATTAGAAATAGTCTCTGAAAGTGGAAAAGAAGAAGATATTAGCAAGCCAAAAGGAGAAGAAAAGTGGATCCGCGTACAACAAAAAGTCATCTCATCCAGAACGAGGACCTCCAGTTCCACGACGCTCATATGGTCCAGAACGATCACGATTATATCTATCACTACCAGACCCCCCTCGACTACCTGCATCCCTGCTACGCCCACCAAACCGATCACCATTTCGATCAGGACCATGACGTCCACCACCATAACGATCCCCCTTACCACCATACTTATCCCCCCTAGCCCCATCACTAGGGCACTCCCTAGCAAAATGTCCAGGTTTCCCACACTTAAAACACTCCCCACCATTGGATCCACGACTGCCATCATAGCCCCGTTTACGATCACGGTCACGATCATGTCCATGATCACGGCTACGGTCACCATCATAATCTCTCCCTGACCCTTGTTGAGGCTTAGCTCTATCAACGGTTATATTTCGCCCATCCAAATCCATTCCATTCATTGCTTCAATAGCTTCTTCCATTGCTGCTTTCTCATCAAAAGTGACAAATCCAAATCCACGAGAACGACCAGAAAACCTGTCAACAGCTACCTGAATCAAACAAAAGTTTTCTGAGTCAAATCAAGTTGACAATTGACCAAAACATCTAAAAATTAGTGATAAGTGCAAGCCAAACCAAGAAAGATTAATACCAACATGTATTCAAAAATTAATAAAGCACATGACAGTGTATGATTATTCGTTCTTTAAACAAATAATGCTATTATGATTACCAGTTTGTTCCATAAAACATATTGCTATCACCTAAAGTACTTAATTCTTTCAGCTTTTGAATTGCCTTCAATCTAAATTGGGATCAATGTTTGACCGGGATCAGATTCGATGGTGATAATCAGTAACTCAAGAATTTTATTTTATTTAGAGTTTCATGATTAAATACCTTAGCGTCAAGAAGATTTCCAAACTTTTCAAATGCATCTTTCAGGCCTCTATCAGATGTTGACCATGAAAGGTTACCAATAAAACAACGGTACTCGTCTTCTGGCATAATGTAAGCTGCATTGTTTATGGCAAAGGAATACCAAAAAACAGTTAATTATCCAATAGAAAATTCGTGTGAAATTGGTTTGAGATATCTTCTTGGTAAAATATGCCATCACTATATCAGCATTGAGAAATGGCAGAAACATGACCAACAAATGGAATGATAGTGCACAAGGATTTCAGTGTGAGCAACCAAAATAACAAAAAGCAGCTTATGACTATCAAAACTTATATGACACTAGAAATCAATAGTAAACAAAAATGACAGATGAAACAAATCAGTTCATAGCATTCACTTAAACAACTCCAATACAGAAAAGAGTAGGCACTCCTAGGTTACAATAAATGGGACAGTAACTAACTGTGCCCAAGCAAACTCTTAAAAGTAAAAATCGTGCCTTTAAACTGACCTTTGCTTCAAGGCAGAAACAACAACAAAAAAGCAAGCTTGGCCTACAATTGCTACAAATCTCCACAATAATCATGGTAAATAGCATTCCACAAACAGATTCTTTATTTCAAAACAAAACCCTTTCCTAAACCCCAAATTAGTAAGCAGTCCACACGCACATTCAAAATTTGCCTCCGTAACCACGGCTTTCCGACAAAACCATAGAAACAGTACAGAATAAATAAGATTATACAGCGCATAAACAATCAAACATAATTCCACGAATTACCTAAATATCTAATAACCCATCAAAGACAACATGTTGCATTTAAAATCATTATTCAGATCAGAAGCCAAGAAGCAATTAATCAAAAGCTAATCGACAGAAAACAAAATTGTAATATTGTCGAATACAAGCAGATTTAATGGAAAGCACAAGGAATCAATAGCAGAGAATAGAGAGGAAGTACCAAAAAGAGCAGAGGCGAGAGAGGAGTAAACTCGAAAAGAGCAGTTAAGTTTCGAAAGAAACTTAAAAATACATAATAAAAATAGGTTAAACTACTCTTTTTTAGTCCCTTCACTTTTCTGATGTTTCTATTTTTGTCTCTCATTTTTAAAACATTTTCAATTTCATCATCAAATTTTGAAATTTCGCTTGCTTTAATCACTCACGCTATGTTACCTAACTCAGTCCCATCCTCCCGTATCTTGTTTGAATTTGTTCGTTTTAGTTTGGGATTTGTTCACATGCCAAATCATTAAGAAATGTATGTTGAAACTATTAAATTGGCGTATCAAAAGCACGACACAATAAAAGCAAACAAAATTAATTACGAGAGAAGATAAAGAAGCGTCTAGATTCTAACACCACAATCAATTTACTAACATCGATAATGATATTTGTTCTGTCGAGTCCATCGATTATTAAAAGTTATCTAATTATAAGGAATTGTTCCATCCAATCCATTAATTATTATAACTTACTAAATTACACTTTACTACGCTATAATTTGCTACAATCATTTTATCTAAAGAAGTCATGCTTTATTATTTTATCACTAAATATCCTATTTTTATTCTTTAATTATCTCACCAATTTCAATAATGATATTTGGGGAAAAAAAGGATAATTAATAGACAAAAATTCAAATAAACATGAAAACCCCATCTTATCTAATAATTTAGACTTGAAGTTTAATAATTATTGATGATGGAGGAGATGAAAAAGAACAAACCCATAAACATGAATTACATCACATATATGCTCTAAGATAAAAGCAAGAGAAGTAAAATAAGCAAAGTATTATGCCTTCGCTTGATGAGATCATGTAATTGTACACCAAGCAAAAACTCAAAAGGTACAAGGTTATGGCGTTGCAATCACGACAATATTATTTATAAAAATAATAGGATGTACCAACAATCAGTTAGTATAGTGGGATGAGACATTAGGTCCCTTAAGCAAAGTCAGGGGTTCGAATCCTGACGTTTGTAAATGGGGCAAACTGGGTTGGGAGGGTCGCCCTTGCCTTTACAATACCCGATTTGAATTAGTCGATCAATAAATTAGATAATATTGATTAATTCAATTTAGAAAATAATAGGATCTGAGAGGTAGATGATGTATTGCACAAATTTTCAACGGAGGAAAAAAGAGATAGTCAAAAGTCAAAATACAAAATGTCTCGTATAGTAATAGTAAAAGTTTTCAAATTAGTAGTTGCAAATACTTTTGGGTAAACTACTTAAATTGCCCCTCTATTATATCTTACTTTTTAGTTATGTCTCTCAACTATGAAACATTATTAAATAATCATTTTTCTCATTATCTCATATTTTTTTTCTCTATTTGCTAAAGATTCAAAATTAATTTATTATGAAATTTTTAACTACAGATAAATTTGAACATCAATCATTGAAGATTAAGATTGGATGAGCCCACCAATTTATTTCTAACTACATATGACAATTTTTCATAATTCGAGTGATTATTTAATATTTTTTATAATTGGATAACACAATTAAAAATATATTATACTCGAGAGACAAAGCGGTTTACATTTAAAAGAATTCAATTAAAGAATAAAAAGTTATTTTTAAAAAATATACATAATAATTTTTAAAAATTAAATATATTGACAGCGGAGGTAGTTTGTGAAAATTATACATTTGGTCTAAAATTGGTTGGTAAATGGTTGTCCCTTGTTACAATATGTAATAGGGATAAGGGGAGGTAAGATAGTAGGTTGCCCCAACACTAAGTTGATAGCAACTTCCATAGGAAACTTCCAATTATAAAATGTCCTCCATGAGACTCGATCCCACGACCTCAAGGTTAAGAACCTTGTGCTCTACCAACTGAGCTGGATGATCATTTCCATTTGATCTAAAATTGATATTTGATAATAGTTTATGAATATAAAAGGAATTTTTAAACATGACTTGGTCAAAAACCATTAGCTAATTAACTCATAGCCAAGTATTATTTTATTTTTCTACCAACTAGAACTTGAACGGGTCTAACACTCTTATTTTTTTTTATATTTTATATTACTAAGTTTTGGATTTAATTTAAATTTAAATGAATAAAAACTAAAATTTCAAATTTCTCGATTTCAACCCTACGACGTAAAAGACAAATTGCATTGTAATATCGAATTGTCTAAACTCTGGGTTTTAAAATATATATTTTTATATTAATAAAAATATATATAACTTTTTAGACGATGTTGTCACACTTAAATGAACACGAATGAATACTGTTAATGATTAATATCATTAAATTAATTTATAAAATATAAAATTATAAAATATTAAACATATAACTATAATTATTTATAAAAAAAAATTATCAATTTTTGCCGACATGTAGTAATTGTTTTTGTCCGAAATACAAAGACGGTAATTTCCGATCATAACCTTTGACGTCCGTTATCCGGAAGGGTCAAAAAATCAAATGGCGACAAACTTCTAGAAATTACGGAGTTAGTCCTTGTCGTTGGACGGACGTTAACTAAAGCTTCCGGTTTTTGTTTTAGCCAATAAGCCAAGTCACCAAACAACAAATCATCGTTGAAACCGAGACCTCGTCAATGTCTCTATCAATTTTTTTTTACATTTAATTTTACACTAAAATTATATTATTTTATGTGAAAAAAAGAAAATTTAGTTTGTCAATTTTGTTTCATTTCCAAGCAAAGGAAAGAAAAGACTTTAGACTTTTCATTAAAGCTCTATAAAAAGATAAGCGAAAACAACACTCCAGACTCCAAGATCAAATCGCCAGTTACGGGTAATTTGTTTATGCCGTTATGTCTTGGTTTTAGTTAATGGATTCGTTCGATTCTGATCACGATTCTGGTTTCTTTTTTGGGTTTGAATTGATTTTTTCTTGAGTTTGGGAATTTTGGTCTGGGTTCGGTTGCCTAGAAAATGAAATTACTTTGTGTTCTTTCCTTTCTCATTTGAGATGGAAAATTGAAAAAAAAATGAAAATTTTGAGAAAAGATGGAATTTCCCCCCTGGATAACTAAAGATGAAACCCTCGGGCTTGTCTGTTTATTTTTTTTTTATAAAATAAATATTTATTTGGATATTAATTCCGGGGGTATAGCCTTTAGCCTATAGGAAGAAATTTTAAGAAATAAATAAAGAGAAACAATAGAGTTAATGAGAAAGGGAATTTCACAGAATCTGATGTTCATAACCAAAGGATTTCAGTAATTACAGAAAAAAAGAAAAGATTTTGATTCGTCTATCTTGCTTAGTTTTGTTATATTCCTAAAAGGTCAATCTAGCACCAAGTTTAATTTTGGAAGTACATTTCGCATTTAAAGCCTCAACTTTTATTCTGACTAACTGGAACTTTTGATGCATTGTTGTATGTTATAAGGACCTTTTCATTTTGGATAAAAATGGGTGATCATCTGGTTTTATGCGTGGACCGTCTTATAACACCTGAAAGTTTGCAATCAACTCAAGAAACGGAGGCTGTAGGAGCATCTGGTGAAGGCTCTTCCCAAGCCTCTCAGCCAGATGCTTGTGCTATTGGTGTTAAGGAAGTGGAAGAACATGGTCCTTGTGACGAAGAAGAACCACTTATACAGGCAGCTGAATGCCGAATCTGCCAGGAGGAGGATGACATTAAGAATTTGGAGACACCTTGTGCATGTAGTGGTAGTTTGAAGGTATTCGGTGTTTTGGGGTGATTTGAAACTTACTCCCTGAAGCTTTCTATTTCAGTTTTATTCTGTAATTAGTTTGGTCTGCTGCAATGGTGGCTTTCTATTAGCTCTAAAAGTATAGATTATCAAATATATATGTGAGCTAATGATTTGAGTGTCGTCATGATGTGGAGAAAGGCTTGATGATTTTCTGTCCAACTTCGAAGTACTTCTGTTTTAATTAAGATATGGTTTCATTGTCTTGTCTTCTTATTCTTGTAGTGTAGTAGCATTAACTGACATAATTTTATTATCCAGTTTGCTCACAGGAAATGTGTTCAGCATTGGTGCAACGAGAAAGGCGATATAACTTGTGAAATTTGTCATCAGGTAAATCCCTGCTCTCTAAAATGGTTCCATCTTCGTTAGTCCACCTAGGAGGAAGAGATTGATACCTTTTGTATTTTCATTCACCCACATCAATTTGCATACTTGTGAAAAAATATCCGGTTCTAGATGTTAACAATTATAATTTAGTATCATTTTGCGACAAATCAATTTACTAGCAATGCTGTAAAGTTGCATACTCGTGAAAATTATACCTGGTTGAATGATGTTTTTTTTTCATGCCATTAAAATGGGAAAAGCCCTTTATATTCTGGCAACTTTTAATTTCAGTTAAGAAAAGACTGCCTAATCATATGGTTATAGTTGCATTACCTTAAATTTGATCCCCCTTATCTTGACGAATGCCCTTTTTACTTTTTACCTTTTTGGTCCCTGTTTGTTTATGTTGGCTTTTAGGTTTTGAAGCGTTCATTGTAATCTTTAGGTTAACAACATCCTAAACGCTCAGAGAATTTTCTTTTCTTTTCTTTGGTATCACGGGGGAATATTTTTAATAGATTTTACTTCCATTTTTGAAAAAAAAAATCCTTTGAGCTTGTTCTATATTCCTATCTTTGACTCGTTTAGGCTGCATTATTTAACCCCAAATGCAAGATCCTTTATGTCCCTCAAGGATTTTAAGTATGAAAGTATTGACTTTGATGTTCGAAATATGGATATCTTCTGTTTCAAGGTGTCTGAAAGAAACCATTAAGTACATGGAACAGTAGCTCAGTTGTTATTGCATGGATGACAGCTTATATAGTCTATGATTCAATTAAAATTTTATATTGCTGAATTGTTCACTTGGTATTTTCCCTATAACTTTATCTACCTGCGTGTCATTTTTCAATTAGAAAATTATATTCTCACTCAGTTACACTTTCCTGCCACATACGGTACTGAGTTTATTGAATATGACGTGGTGATATTCATGACACATTTGTTATTTAAACTAAT